TCGTGTGAAAACGCGAGGCACAAATCCAGTTTCTGTTTGGGATTTGTACAATAAAATGGTAGAGGTATGCCTACCAGGGGGGCGGTCACCATTTTGTTTTTCAAAATGGTGTCATGCGCACACACGGGGCAAGCGCACGCGCGTGCACAAATGCACGCGCCGGCCCCAGCACCATTCCCCCCCCCCGGACCGTCAGCAAAAAAAGTTGCCAACCCCTGGTCTAGAAGCCATGGCTGAGTTGGGAATCAAACCCAGGTCTCGAGTCTCAGGACTTTATCACACAGGGGAAATCTACAGTTTATCCCATACAAATCCCGAAAAAAATGCGTAATTACGCGCAATGATTTCACACAACGTTGCACAAAAACTGCTATTAAAGTGGTCAGAAAGTGGTATTATCCCAGATCTTTTTACTTTCAGGATTTTAGTGAAAATGCATTTTCGATATTACTGTAATTGCGCTTTTACTCTAGTGTGAAAGTCAAATTCGGTTTATTTACACAATAACCCTCTTTTAATTATTTTTTCCGGTTTTCCCATAGTTCTGTGAGACTGCTTTTACTTCCTGTTTTGCTTGGGCGACAAACATGGCAGGCAGACATGAACCTCTCTGCTTTCTCTTTCTGCGCGTGTGCAAGTATAACATTTCTAGTACATTTACGGATTTCTTTCACTTCCGTATGAAATGTAAAAACGCCTTTTTATCGCTTTTCGCATTATTTCGCATTTATTCTAATTACGTGTGAAATTCATTTGAATTATCAAGCTCTATTTTCACTTTATTTTCGGGATGGTTTATTTGCGCTTTATTATCTTTTTAAAGACAAAACTGACCCCCGTGTGATATAGTCCTTAGTCCAACCCTCAAACCACTGTGCCACACTGGCTCGATATATCTCACTTTTTATTTTATTTAAATGCAAATCAGTCCATCTGTCTTTACTGTTGCTGCTCCTAAACCAGGTGTCCCCAGACTTTTTCATCCGGGGGCCGGGTCGCTGGCCCCCAGATCTTCCGGAGGGCTGGTGGCGCGCGCGCAAGTGCATAACTCAGATGCCATTTTGTTTGCCAAAATGGCGCCTGGAGTCATGCGCATGCATGTAGTGTCACGCACGCATGCGCGTGACTCCAAATGCCATTTTGGGATACAAAATGGCATCTGGTGGCGCGTGTGAGCGACGGCAGCGGCGGCGCAGCGACGGCGGCGGAAGGATGCCTCGGCGGGCCGGGTCTGGCCCGCAGGCCATAGTTTGGGGACCCCTGTCCTAAACCATCTGTATTATTATTTTCTCTTCTTTCTTCCCTTGCATTCTCTCTGTTCCTTCTGTCCTTCCTAACCTGTCTTTTCACCTTACCTGTTTGTACCCTCCAGAGCAGGGGTAGGCAACCTAAGTCCTCGGGGGGGGGCCGGATGTGGCCCCCCGAGGCCTTTGGCCCGGCCCTTGGCCAGTCCTGCTGCCGCCACCCACCATAATGATATTTATTATTGTTGTTATTACTTGTTCTTAGGGTTTTCTTGGCAAAATCTCCACAGGGGTTTTTCCATGGCTTTTCTGGGGCTGAGAGAGTGTGCATGCATATTTTTTAAAAAAAATTTAAATTTTTAAAATTTATTTATTTATTTATTTATTTATTTTTGGTGCTTCGGCCCCCCAATTGTCTGAGGGACAGCAACCTGGCCCCTGGCTCAAAAAGATTGCCTACTCCTGCTCCAGAGCATACCTTCAGCTCACCTCTCTCTAACCTTTTGCAAAATGGCATGCAATTGGTTTCTCTACATATTTTCTCTGGCAGGAAAAACGAAAGGACAACATTAGCAGGCGCAGCACCACCATTCATTCATTCGTTCTCTTGGCCTCTCTGGAAACCAGAACTCCCTTGATTTAACCCATTCAGAGGCTCTTGTCTCTTCCTGGCTTTGTGTGAAAGGCTCAAAATCATTGACATTTTCCAAATCGAACCAAGCTACCTTAAAGCAATCCATTACTGTCTAGTCTAGGAGGGAGCAAAGTACAGCCTCGGAGCCAAATGGGGGCCTTTGAGGCGGCATCCGCACAGAAGAAATAAAGCAGTTTGACACCGCTTTAACTGGCATGGCTCCTAGAATATTGGGATTTGTAGTTTTATTAGCTATTTAACCTTCTCTGACAGGGAGCTCTAGTGCCACAACAAACCACAAGTCCCAGGATTCTATAGGATGAAGCCATGGCAGTTAAAGCAGTGTCAAATTGCATTAATTCTGCAGTGTAGATGCAGCCCTTGTCACTCTCACTTGGTTTGTTGTTGTGTGCCTTCAAGCCAATTCCGACTTACAGCAACCCTAAGGCAAACTTATCATGGGGTTTTCTTGGCAAGTTTCTTCAGAAGGAGGTTTGCCATTGCCATCCTCTGAGGCTGAGAGTGTGTGACTTGCCCAAGGTCATCCAGTGGGTATACATGGCTGATCTGGGATTTGAACCCTGTTCTCCAGAGTTATAATCCAGCACTCAAACCACTATTCCATCCCGGCTCTATTAGATTTGCTTGGAACCATTCATTTTTTTTTCCTGACTGAAAATAAAGAGTTTGTTGTGGTTCTTTCTTCCAAAATTACAGGGGCTCTGCACCATTTCACTTGTGTGTGTGTGTGTGTGTATACAAGGGGTATACATTTTAATTATCACCTTTAAAAAAGGTGATCACTAAGTAATTCTCTTTTGATGAAGATGACTGCAATTGCTAAGGAAGTTCAATTATATAGAAGAATATTATGATAATTAAGAATGCAAATATTTGTTTTTAACCATATTTGTTTAAGTCGGAGTCTTGTTGTGTTTGTTTGTATGTATGTATCTGGTTTGTAATGTTTGTTGGTTTTTTTATGTTTAATAAAAAACAAAAATAAAAAAATTGACAGAAAGTTTGTCTTGATTTGTAGTTGTTAATCTATCTCTATGTAGTCATCATCCAGATTTACACATTTTCCCCAGAGTTTCTTGACTCTCCGAATACCGCTTTTGTAGACATTTGCAGATTGCATCTTAAACCTCTCTTCCATGACGTCATCTGTGTTGTCAAATCGGCGACCCCACAATGGATTTTTAATTTTTAGGAAAAGAAAAAGTCACTTGGTTATGTTGATGACACTGACAAAATTTCATCAATTTCATAATGACTTACGGGTGATAATTATTACTTTATGGCACCCCCTCGTACTTCTCCATCTTATACTTTAGTCACTTCTGGAACAACCTGTCACAAAAATAAAGGACACAATGAGCTGATTTTCTCAACTTCATGCACTTAGGGACCAATGATGACACTGACAAAATTTTATCAATATACCATGGTAATTTCCGGGTGATAATTATTACTTTACTTTATGATACCCCTTCGTGTATGTGTGTGTGTGTGTGTGTATAATATATCTCATATATATCCATCAGTCATATAACTCATATATCTCATATATCTCCTTTTTACAAAAGCAGAAATGGACTTCTGCAACATTTCACACGCTCCAGCTGTCCCAGTTTTGGTGCAAACAGTCCCAACTTATCCTGTTGTCCGAACTTTTCAGCTTTGAAAATGTCCTAGGCTGCCTCTACTCTGCAGAATTGGTGCAGTTTGACACCACTTTTAAATGCCATGCCTCGGTGCTATGGAATTCTGAGATTTGTAGTTTTGTGTGATATTGAACCTTCTCTATCAAGAGAGCTCTGCGGCCACCACAAACTACAAATCCCAAGATTCCATAGGACGGAGCCAACATATTCCTGTCAAAAAGTTCTTACTGTCAGGTAAGTAATCCTTGATGTTCAATTTTTGCGTAATCTTTTCTTCTTCTCCTTCTGTATCATTTACATTTATCTCAGAGAATGCTACATAAGGGATATAGGAAAGCTTAAGTTCAGACACACGGTATCTCTGGTGGCGAGCCTCTAACTACCTCTAATTTTAGCTAATTTGTTATTTCTTCTGATTTTAATTAGTATTTTATATTGCTATTCATTTTATATTGTTATTGTTTTTAGTTCGCTTCTTTTTCTTTTTTATGATTGGGAAGGGGGTTGGGGTAAGGGATTATTTAGAAATCTGGTTTTAATTGTATATTGTATTTTATTGTTTTCCTATTTGTTGTAACCCGCCTCGATCTGCAGGGAGAGGTGGGCTATAAATAAAATGTATTATTATTATTATTATTATTATTATTATTGTTGTTGTTGTTGTTGTTGTTGTTGTTGTTCAAGGATGGTAGTGTGTGGTGATGATATAAGAGGAATAAAGTCTCACACAAGAAGACATTTAGGAGATCCTCACTTTAATAGCAGAGGTGGGATAAGTGGAAACTCTTAACTGGGTTACATGTGGCATTTTCCATCTTTCTCTTTTATCACTTGGGAGGAAATCAGGACTTTAAACAGCGATTAACCCATAAAAATCGCGCAATTGACATTAAAACACGATTAAAATAAGGTTAACACAAGAGCCGTTATCCTGTGAATAATCAGGGAATAACCAGGCAAATGTCATTCACGGTTTGCTGCTGTTTCTTGCCTGATTATTCACAGAATAATGGCACTTTAATGATGTTTCACTGTGTTGTCATGTGAAAACCATTAGCGTAATAATGACAGGTTATTCACGGGATAATATCACTTTGAACATTATGTTGTGTGAAAACCAATCGTGCAGTTATGCTTAATTTGTGGGATATTCATGGGATCTCTCCCTTTTAAACTTCCAATTTTCCCCTTAGAAAATGCAAATAAAGAAGAAAGATGCTGTGAGTATATGAAACTATGGATGATATGGAAAAAGTGCATCTGGACAGTAGAAATCATCTAGCTTGACACCACTTTAACTGCCACAGGTCAAGGCTATGGGATTCTGGGAAATGTAGCTTGTTGTGGAACCAGAGCTCTACATTTCCCAGAATTCCACAGCCTTGAGCCATGGCAGTTAAAGTGGTGTCAAACCAGATTATTTCCGCTGTGTGGAGGCAGCCTTCAAGAAAGCTCTCTCTCCCTCTCTCATAGCACTAGAACAGCGTTATCCTCTGAAAATGAATGGTAGGAGATTCAAGACGGAATAAAGGAAGTACTTATGGACTGCGGAACTCATTGCCACAAAAAGCAATCATGCCACAAGCTTGGAATAATTTCAAAAACAGGACTGGATAAATATATGGATGTCACAAGGTTACCACAACTGGCTTTGTTGTTGTTGTGTGTGCCTTCAAGACATTTCTGACATATCGGGATAAGGTTTTCTTGGCAAGTTTCTCCAGAGGAGGTTTGCCACTGCCATCCTCTGGGGCTGAGAGAGTGTGAGTTTCCCAGTGGGCTTACATGCTACTAAGCAGAATAACTATCACTCTAAGACAAGTTCACTCTAGGGTCCCCATACCCAAATTCAGTGGCATTTCCACACCGGATGTCACCCAGTGCTGGGGTGGGGACTTGCAGGGCACGGGATTTCCGCCTTCTGGAGGATAGGACTTCCCGGGGTGGGATTTCCACCTTCCTGGGGGTGGGCAGGACTTCCAGGGGGAAACCCAGCACACTCTCTCAGCCTCAGGCTAGCAGTTGAAGGGACAGGAGGGCAAGGGAAGAGGAGGGACAGGCGCACACTCCTACTGAAGTAATGGATGGCACACGTGCCCACAGGGAGAACTCTGCGTGCCAAAGAGGGCACGCATGACATAGGTTCGCCACCACTGCTCTAAGAAAGTCACAGGCAGTGTACATTTTAGTGCTCAGTGGTGAGGAATACAAAGGCAGAATTCTCTTGCTCCCATGTCATGCTTTTGCGTTTTCTGCTGAGACCACTATGTAAACAGAATGCACAGGCCTTCGATCTGAACCCAAAACACTCCCTGAACAATGTCAGCAATCCTGGAAAAGGTTGCATCCCATCACTTCTCCCCATTTGCATTATTGTAGCACTAACCTGACAGTTGAAATCATAGAATCATAGAGTTGGAAGAGACCCCAAGGGCCATCCAGTCCAACCCCTTGCCATGCAGGAACTCAAAATCAAAGCATCCCCGACAAATGTCCGTCCAGCCTCTGTTTAAAGACCTCCAGATCCATATTGCAGAAATGCTATTTCTTCCTCACCATAAAAACTGGATTTTTCATAAGGCAGGAAACACCCGGTGTCAAAATTATGCAAACTGCACCTTTTCTCTACTGCAATGAAAGCCTCAAGTCATTTGTCTGCGAGGTTTGGGGAAATTAATTTTTGGACAATAGCTCCTGCAGGCTGGCCAGGGGATTCTGGGGTTATAATCCAAAAATGTAGTTTTTTAGGCATTTAAAACAAAGTTTTTAAAGAATGAGCTGGCGTGTTTTAAAATGTTTTAAACTCTATTTTAATATGTGATTTATTTTAATATTGTAATACTTTAATTCTATTTTAATGTACCATTTTTATGCTTTTAATTGTACTGTTTTGTAATATTGTAAACCACCCTGAGTCCCAGTTTTGGGAAAAGGGTGGGATTAATAATGATGATGATAATTTCAGAGATCTACTCTAAGGGTACATAGGAAGCAGTATAACAGAGGCCATTGGTTCATCTGTCCCGGTATTGCCAACGGTGACTGCAATGGAGCCTGTGGTGGGGATCAAATGGCCCTCTTGGTGCTATTGGACAGCAATGCCCAGAATTCTTCACCACTGCCTATTTTCATTGGCTGGAACTGCTGGGAATTGCAGTCTAACATCTGGAGAGATATACAATGCTCATCTGTGCTCTATAACCACTTTCAGTCCCATCTTTTGGGGAAAGTGAAATAATAATAATAATAATAATAATAATAATAATAATAATAATAATAATACAGTGGCCCCTTGCACATTTGCTGGGATTAGGGGCACAGGACCTCCATGAAAGTGGAAAAAACACAAATAAAAATCACTATTTTTTTTTTAACCTGAGAGAATGCCTCTCTAGGAATCTCTAGGTCCTCTTTCCAGCAGAAATCAATCATAGAATTGCACTTGAGGACCTAAAAGTGCCTAGAGAAGTGTTCTCTTTAGAAATCTCTAGGTTTTCCAATATGACTCTATGGTCAACTTCGGCCAGAAGTTGACAATAGAGTTGCGCTGGAGGACCCAGAGATTCCTAGAGAGAACATATTAATCAAATCTGTGAATAATCAAATCCACAAACGTCAAAGCTGCAAATGTGGAGGACTGATTGTAATAATGGGTTTCAGCAGCAATTCTTTCCCAGCCCCATTGGAGATGTCAGGGGTTGGGCCTGGGACCCTGTGTAGGTGAAGCAGGTGTTCCCAGCTATTCCCATCATCTATGACACCAAGCATCTTCCAAGACAGAAAAGCAACAGGCTTCAGGAGGCACAGAGCATATTTATTTGGATGGGGAACTGAGCTGGCATGCTCTTGAGATTGATTTGGCCAACTCCAGTCTATGCAGTGAGTGCAGGAACTTCTTTCCTCTTGAGAGACAAAGTCAATTTCAGCGACGTTATAGTGCAGGGGTTGGCACATTCCATCAGTA